AACTTTGGACTGTGACTTCTTAGAAGTACAATGATTTTTACGATAACATAGATGGATTTAATTTTCAATGCAGCCACAAATGCACAGTCCCAAATGGATTTAATGGTTATCTAAATGCTCGAGAAGTTTTAATTGGAAACATAAGGACTCTTCATTGATAATAGATTATAATGCAAGTCGTATGTTCAGACCAAGAAATTGTTGGACATTCAAATAATTGCCATGCCATAGGCAGGCAGTTGAATTATCCAGGGTAGGAATTTCCTAATTTCCCTTGCACAAAGGCTCAGTGTAATGTATGGATACTTGAAGAGAAGATAGGATTAATATTAAGTAATTACAAATTACCCTGCTTCAAATGACATTATTGAATTAAGGCTGTTTTTCTTGAGAATGTTGTAATACTTTGATTAAAAAATGTATGTTGGACGACCCCCATATCAAACATAGTTCCGTCCATAGGCTGGCCTGGTGACGTCAGCGACCAATGGGTAAAATGGCGGACACGGAATTGAATGTAGATAACCTGATATCCCGACTTTTGGAAGGTAATTTCCTCTCTTTTTACCTTTACAGGTCCAAGTACATTGGCCCAATGTGTTTGTAAAAGTTTTGTGATTTGTCGTAGCGTGATGTTTAAGTCCCCTATCGTACTGTCACGACTTTCTTGAGTTGGAAATCGGATGGTTCGAGTGCCGTTGTACCGAGCGGCTCAAGTTGCTGTTGGCCAAACAAAATTGCAGGCCCGTTGGGCGTAGCTGTACAACGGTCCCAATCATCAATTATACGGAACATGAAATACCATTGAGACTGTTTTCGGTCCTAGATTGTCCATTAGGTGTTTGATTAACCTAATTATTCCCCGTGTAGTCCGGGGATGTCGCCCTGGCAAGACGGTGCAGATGACAGAGGCGGAGGTGCGGGGGTTGTGCCTGAAGTCACGGGAGATTTTCCTGAGCCAACCCATCCTCCTGGAGCTGGAGGCTCCGCTCAAGATCTGCGGTGAGGAGAGTTCGATAGACACTCCCTGTAAATTGGGCCCCGCCTTTCCAACATGGACATACATGTACCATAAACTTAAACATCTTAATTCATGTAGATTTATTTGGTCGATGTACATTTGCAAACCCACAGCATTTTTCTTTAAAAAAATCCAAGAAATTAGTAACTACGTAAATAACCCATTTTTTGCTTACTAAAATGTTATGAATAAGGTTGATGTTTGAAAATTGTTGAAGAAAGGATGGGTGACTATGGTTACTTGGACTAGACTCCTCTCCAATTATTAAATTCCCTACAGGCCAATTTGACGCTGCTCACCTGGGTAACCATGCTGAGAAACATTTCAACACTGTTGTTGATAAAACAATTCAAGCAGAATATTTCTCAATTGTATGAACTGTTCAGTGTGGTCTGTTTTAGCAAACCATCACAAAAGATGTGTATTCATCATTATTACACGGTGAAACAGGCTTTTACTAATAGCTCTGGTCAGTCTTTCTAACAACCTCTGCCGCTATCTGATGAGAATAAAGAATAGGCTTGTACAGTGTAATGTTACCAGGACCTAATGAATACTAGTAACTGGCTGTCATAGCAACAAATACATTACATGTGATCAAGGACCAATTTCTCATTCTGTGCCTCAAATTGCCTACTGTCCCAGGTGACATCCATGGCCAGTACACAGATCTCCTCCGACTGTTTGAGTATGGAGGTTTCCCGCCTGAGGCCAACTACCTGTTCCTTGGGGATTACGTAGACCGTGGAAAACAGTCCTTGGAGACCATCTGCTTGTTGCTGGCGTACAAGATCAAGTACCCCGAGAATTTCTTCCTGTTGAGAGGAAACCATGAGTGTGCCAGCATCAATCGAATATATGGATTCTATGATGAATGTGAGTATGAAATGTCCCATCTGTTTCCTTTTAGATTGTAGCCTGTCTGTAGCAACTTTGGAATTTTAGGTACGTACAGTATGGTAATTTTTAATGTGTGTCCACTGTACAAGATTGTCTCCTGAAATGTAGCACTGTTATGGTGACAATTAGGTTAATTTGATTTAATGGTGGTTGATTTGAGATAATGAAGGCAACCAGTTGTTTTGAAGTTATTGATTTTTCTCGTGGGCAAAGTTTGCAACTGCATGGCGTAGAGCCATTAAAGTAAAATGTGTTTTGAAGTACATGTACTTCTTTTGGTGAGTGATCCTTACTTGAAGTCATGTGACAATTTTCTGCCTTTGAATTTTAGTTTGATGTCATACAAAACTAATTCAAGCAAAAAGTCTATTGTTCTACGTTAACCATGACAAGTACAAAAAAGCCCCAAAGTCAACAATATTTACAGAAATTTCATTTGTACTTAGTCTTGTGTGTCAACAGAAAGTGAACCTTGGACTTGACCTTTGAATTGGTTGATGAAAACGCAGTTTGTTGGTGCAAGTACTCTTCAAATTTCACAAACATGCAGGAACAAGTGTACAGATATGACTTGTATACAAAAATGGTTTCATTTAGACGTTTGAATAACATGATGTAAATAATGCTGCACTGGCCCTGGGCTACATTTGTACTGTTTTTGGTTAGCATGTTGGATCTCTAGGGTCTAGCATTTTGTGTCTACATAATCTCACTTGTGGTCATCCTTTGTGAATGCTGCTAGCATATTTATGATTGATAGGTTCC